AAACGTAAAAAGGAAGCACGACTTCCAAAAGAGAGAGCCCGTAAAGCACGCAAGTTAAGAGGCATTAAAGCAAAATTGTTTAATAAGGAGCGACGAAATGAAAAGATCCAAATTAAAAAGAATATTCAATCACATGAGGAGAAAAAGCTGAAAAAACAAAATGAAAAGGTTGAGGATGGAGCTTTACCTCATTACTTGCTTGACAGGGGAGTCCAGTCAAGTGCGAAAGTGCTGTCAAATATGATCAAGCAGAAACGCAAGGAAAAAGCTGGAAAGTGGGACGTGCCCATACCAAAAGTTCGCGCCCAGTCGGATGCTGAAGTTTTCAAGGTTCTAAAGACTGGAAAAACTAAGCGCAAAGCATGGAAGCGAATGGTTACAAAAGTCACATTTGTGGGAGAGAATTTTACTCGGAAACCACCAAAATTTGAACGTTTTATTCGACCAATGGGACTACGAATGAAAAAAGCTCATGTGACCCATCCAGAACTAAAAGCTACCTTCCATTTACCTATTATTGGTGTAAAGAAAAATCCCAGCTCCCCAATGTTTACATCGTTAGGTGTTATAACCAAAGGCACTGTTATAGAAGTTAACATCTCTGAGCTGGGATTGGTGACACAAACTGGAAAAGTTGTGTGGGGCAAATATGCACAAGTTACAAACAACCCAGAAAATGATGGTGTTATTAATGCAGTACTGCTGGTTTAGTGGATCAAGAAATATTTTTTTAAATTTTAATGTTCACATTAATAAATTCAGATCTTGACAACAGAAGAGCGTTTAATTATTATATTTAGTGTTGTTCTTATTAAATTTATATATTAACTTGCTTACTTTTTTTCAGTTTGGTGACGGGACTAAACCATGCAGATCTTTGTAAAGACCCTTACGGGCAAGACCATAACTCTTGAGGTCGAACCGTCGGATACCATCGAAAATGTCAAAGCCAAGATTCAGGACAAAGAAGGAATTCCTCCAGATCAACAACGCTTGATCTTCGCTGGCAAACAATTGGAAGATGGCCGAACACTATCTGATTATAACATTCAGAAGGAGTCCACCTTGCATTTGGTACTGCGGCTTCGTGGTGGCGCCAAAAAACGCAAGAAGAAGAACTATTCCACTCCTAAAAAAATTAAGCACAAGAGGAAGAAGGTCAAGCTCGCGGTCTTGAAGTACTACAAGGTATATAGCTCTGCCGACTTGGAAAATATAAAAGAGATCTGTTCTTGGAATTCTTGAGTTTTGATCTTGCGCTCGTTGACTCAACTTTTTTTTATTAACTCCATATTAGAATCTGATGATTTAACATTATATTTAAAATTTAACAGGTTGACGAGAATGGAAAGATTCATCGTCTTCGTCGCGAATGCCCTGGAGAGAATTGTGGGGCTGGAGTTTTCATGGCTGCTCACGAAGATCGTCATTATTGCGGAAAATGCAATTTGACATTTGTTTTCAGCAAACCCGAAGAAAAGTAATTCAAATGCCAAACGGCAGATTATGAACATGCATATGTTTGAAATCAACAAATAAATATTGTAATTGAATTACATAATTGATAACAGAAATATATACTGTTTTTTCATTACAAAGACAAAGTCTTCAACGTTACAACCAGTTAAGAAGTAATTTGGCGCTGCCGAAAACGAAGCTGAGCTAGGCAAGCTATATATACAAATTTTGATCTGAACTTATTTTATAGGCTTTTTACTGCTGCGTCACGGAGTTATACCGGATACCAATTGTTTTTTTTTACATAGCTAAAACCAACCTACCCTGATGAAATTATAATAATTTTAATTATAATTTATAATTTCATCATGGTTTAACCAAACGCCCCGGCGGTGGGGGGGGGGCGGGGGGCCCGGCCGGGGGGGGGGGGCCCCCCCCGAAACGGGCAGAAAGGGGGTGCCCAAACACAATACATACTATATGTATCTATTGAAATTTTGATGAACAGCCAGAGAGCGCTTTAGATCCAGCCGCTCTCTTGCATACAGAGGCAGCCAACGACTTACCCACCTATACCTATACACACCTATAACTTCGCGTACAGTTTAGTTAAACAGAAAAAATTAATTTTATATCAAAGATCGAAATTTCTACTTTCTGCTCATAAAAATTATTCGTCAAGTCGTTACGTTCTTCAAAAAATATTTAAATATATAACAGCTAAAAAATTCAATTAAGGTTTTTGTTCGGCTAAGCGCCGGCCCATGGCAGCGCAAAGAGAGCAGAGCTAAGCTCTTATGCACAACATTGCCTACCTGACTCTGCGCTCTTGAGTCATTTTCCCCCTCCCGAAAATCGTCAGCCGACGAAGGCTGTGAGGGAGGCTCGTCTGCGCAGCAGAGACACTTCGAAATCTAGCATCATCAAACGTACAACATATCGTCGGTTGGCACAGTGACCTGCTACATTGTTATTACCTTTTATACAAAACCCATTATTGTTTTCGCTTCAACACGGTCCACCACGGGTCCGCCTGTTGCTAACTCTTGCCCATTCTATTCCCACTCGCCTTGCATGGAAAATAAAGAAACTAACATAACCAAACAAACTGTGTTGTGAATTAATCAAAGTACAAATTGTCGATTTAACTCTACGCTATTGAAAAATCTCAATAGCTCAACATTTTGGTGACCCCGACGTGATTTAATCGATATATATTTATATATATACACATATATATGCCTTGCAAATAACACTTGTCGGTTGTTTAATTCGCTTTGTACCACGGTTTTTCGATTCGGCGTCTGTGCACAAGCAACATAAACGGTTCTCGCGTCATCTGCTTTGCGGTTTGTCTTGCGGTTGTTTCGTTTCGGTTTTCGGTGCTCTAAGTGTGCATGCCATTGTTGTTGTCAGCTGCACCTACTCAGTTCTTTTAAAACTGTGAACTTTCGCTGCTGGCCTGTAGAACTGTGAGCCCGTGTGTTTGAGCGCTGCGATCGAGTGTACAGTTCCTATCAAACTGTTCAAGGTTATTCACCGGTTATTAACCTCTCCGTGCTTCAGAAACTGTAACCCAGTGCGTCGTAAACCTACCCAATGGCTTCTAATAGCACCCCCTCACTCTTGCCCCCCTCACCATTGTTCGTCGATTCGGAAGCTGCATTCTACAAGCGCAAGGTGCAATCCATGGTAGGGGCAGCACGGAGAATCGAAACGGCCGTTGGCAAGGAGAGAATTGGCGAGCTCAGTGAGGAGGAGCTGAACGTGAGGCTGAAATTGCTAGCGGAGCTTGTAGTTTCATTCAACGAGCACCATAATGCCCTGGAGAGGATTGATCTCGATGAGATCGGTAGTCCCTTGAGGGAGGAGTTTGACGAGTGCGTGGTCATGCTGGAGATTCGCATGAAACGGGAGTTAAACAAGCGGCAGCCCACAATGCTACCATGCTCAACAATGCGGACGGACCATGTAGGAGAGGCCCCAACTACGGTCGTTGTGCAAAGTCGGCCACGCCTGCCGGAGTTGAAGCTTCCTGAGTTCAGTGGTGGCTACGCTCAGTATTCCTCGTTTTGGAGCATGTTTTCCTCCATAATAGACAAGGATACCGATTTGTCAAATGTGGAGAAGCTGCAGCACCTGCGTTCCTGCCTGAAAGGAACAGCACTAGACACTATTTCGTCTCTAGAGTTCACGCACGCCAGCTATCCCATCGCGCTAGACCTCCTTGATAAGCGTTTTAATAACAAACGTTTAATTTTTCAGGCGCATGTCACGGACATTCTGGGTGTTCCGCGCGTAGAGGCTTCGTCTGTGTCGCAACTTCGGTCTTTGTCGGACACTGTGAATGCTAATCTTCGGGCTTTGCAGAGTATGGGAACAACGGAGCAGATTGCAGACTGTATCTTGATACACAGCCTGCTGCAGAAGGTGGACAGCGCTACGCAAGCCAAGTGGGTGGAAACGTCATCGCTGGACAGCATACCCACAAGCCAACAATTCACCGCTTTTCTGGAGCAAAGATGTCAGAAGTTGGAGAATCGGGAGCACGCTATGGCAATGTATACGCCTGGCATTCAGGTGGGAAAGATAAAAAAAGTACAGAGCAACCCTAGAAGTTCATTTGTAGCCACTGAGTCTGTTTCTCTTGAGTGTCTATTTTGCAATACTGCTGGCCATAGCATATATACATGCGCGCTGTTTGGGAATCTTTCGCCGTCCCTTCGCCTAATTGAGGTGAAAAAGCTTGGTCTTTGCCTGAATTGCCTGAAGGCTGGCCATCAATTGCGCACTTGCAGGTCATCAACTTGTCGTCACTGTGGTAGCAAACATCACACCTTATTGCATTTAAACGCCAGACCCTCGCCCACGGAACCCGTTGTCTCGTCATTCCCGCACCCTGAAGCGCAGCCACAGTCCTCAGCTGCCTCTCTGGTTGCACAGAACTCTTGCAGGGATGTTGTGCTCTTAGCCACTGCAGTTGTTCTGCTGAGGGATCGTGCTGGATCGCTCGTACCATGTCGGGCACTCTTGGACTCCGGATCACAAATGCACCTTATAACCTCCAGCCTCGCCCAACAACTTAGACTGAAAAGGACCATGTCGTCGGCCGCAGTATTGGGTCTTGGGGATTCCAGTTTTGTATCGGAGGGCTATACTGTGGGACTCAACTTGCAGTCCCAAGCCTCTGACTACAGTACCAGTTTCGTCGCGTTGGTAGCTCCCACAATCACCGAGCAGCAGCCCAGCTTTTCAGTTGACGTTTCTGGTTGGAAAATTCCGCCGAATTTACCATTGTCAGATCCGCAGTTCTTCAGGCCACAGCGTATTGACCTGCTCATTGGGGCTAGCCTATTCTTCGAGCTGCTGTGCATTGGCCAATGCACCTTGGATGGGTGGTTTCAGGAGGTGGTCAGCAAACGCGTAGGACAGCCTTACTTGGGGCCCAGGCCTCATCTGACGCCAGGCAGGAGTCTCTTGATCAAGTGGAACTGTTACTGAGGCGTTTCTGGGAGGTTGAAAGTTCCACTGAAGATTCGGTAATGGTCAAGCAGGAGGATGTCGATTGTGAAGATCACTTCAAAGCAAATTTCTCGCGCCTGTCATCTGGAGAGTTTGCCGTGAAGCTGCCCATCAAGAAAAGTTTGGAGATCTTGGGCGACTCATACACGCAAGCATATCGGCGGTTCCTCAACTTGGAGCGGAAACTTGAGCGTCGTCCGCAGCTGAAGGCTCAGTACGTATCTTTCATTAGGGTGGAATCAGAACTGCTCAGTCGTTGTCGCTATTTTCTACCGCATCATTGCGTGTTTAAGGAGGACAGCACGACCACCAAATTGAGGGTCGTGTTCGTTGGATCTGCCACAACATCAACAGGTTTTTCGTTAAACGAGGTCCTAATGGCGGGGCCTACTATCCAGCCAAAGCTGCTACATACGCTGCTTCGTTTTCGTACGTTCCTCATTGCGCTGACTGGTGACATTTGCAAGATGTACAGGTGTGTCCGAGTATCTGAGCCGGACAATTACCTGCAGTGCATCTTATGGAGGGATTCCCCTCACGAGGATGTGAAGGCGTTCAAGCTCGACACAGTAACATATGGAACCAAACCGGCTTCCTATCTTGCAATTCGTTCCATGCTCCAATTGGCAGAAGAAGAGAGGACTGCATTTCCCATTGGCTCGGAAGTGTTGACCTCCAACTTCTATGTCGACGATTTGATGACTGGAGGAGGATCTGTAGAGGAAGTGCGCGAAAAGATGAGGCAGACATCCCAGTTATTGGCTCGGGGAAGGTTCCCAATTCGGAAATGGTGCTCCAACGTCCCTGGCGTACTTGAGGGAATTCCTGACAAGGATAAGGAAACGCTGCTAAGGTTCGACGATGGCACCGACTTCACAAAGGCTCTTGGATTGGTTTGGGAGCCTTCATCTGATAATTTTCTCTTTTCGGTAGTACCCACGCAGCTGCCATCAAAGCCGACGAAACGTTCAATGTTGTCAACGATTGCTCGTTTTTATGATCCTTTAGGACTGATTGGGCCTGTCATCGCAAAGGCAAAGATTTTCCTTCAGTTGGTATGGAAGGAGCAGCTCCAATGGGATGAGAGTCTGCCAGAGTCTCTTTCATCAGCGTGGACCATTTTCTGCGAGAGTTTGTCCACCCCTCAACTGTTTAGATTTCCTCGTCTGTCAGTTCTCCCCAATTCAACAGTGGAAGTTCACGGGTTTTGTGACGCCAGCCTAGACGCCTATGGAGCATGTATTTACGTTGTGTCAAGGACAAATAATCGCGCGCACGTGCAACTTCTGTGTGCGAAGTCTCGTGTCGCCCCTCTTAAGGTATTGACGGTGCCCAAGTTGGAGTTATGTGGCGCTGACTTGCTTTCTCAATTGATCAGTGAGATACAGAAACTTAAATTGTTCACTGGAAGCTTCTATTGCTGGTCGGACTCCACAACTGCCTTGTCTTGGGTGCGCCATGACTCATCAAGCTTTAACGTATTCGTTGCAAATCGGGTCTCAGCCATTCAGGAGCGGACTGCTCAGATGGAGTGGCACTACGTGCCCATCGCCCAGAACCCTGCTGACATATTGTCCAGAGGCGCTTCGCCGTCAGAGCTTCTGGAATCGCATCTTTGGGCCCACGGGCCACCCTTTCTTCAAGATGAGCAACCTCTGTGGCCAGCAGCGTCTATTCAATCTGCGCCAACACTGGAGTTGCGCAAGAGAGTCCTGATTGCAGTTTGTCCATTCGTAGACTTATCTGACGGCCGAAAGTTCTCCAATTCCTTCGGAAAGATCCAGCGCACATTTGGATATGTATTCAAGTTTCTGCAGCGCAAAAGGTCGTCCGGATTAACAGTAGCTGACATCGTTGGTGGTACGCGGATACTTCTTCGTTCGATTCAGCGAGTGCATTTGTGGCCTGACTACAAGACTCTGCGTGACGAACAGCAGGTGCAGTCGTCTAGCTCCATCTCCTCACTCGCGCCGTTCCTGGATGACCATGGCTTGTTACGCGTCGGTGGGCGGTTGGAAAATTCATCACTTGATTTCAACGCACGGCACCCAGTCATTCTTCCAAGGCGTCATCCCGTCACATCTGCTGTAATTGTGCATGTCCATGAGCAGAATCTGCACGCTGGGCCTCGGTCATTGCTCGCACTTATTCGGCATGAGTATTGGCCGATTGGAGGGCGCAAGACAGTGGCCAGCGTCGTAAATCGCTGCACCAGATGTTTTAAGGCCAAGCCGCGCCTGCTGCAGCATATTATGGCCGACTTGCCGAAGGATCGTGTGAATGCGTCGTACGTTTTTGCAGTCACCGGTGTGGATTTTTGTGGTCCGTTCTTTTTTAAGAGTGAGGTGCGGACCAGACCACCCATCAAATGCTACATATGCCTCTTCATATGCTTTGCCACCAAGGCCGTTCACTTGGAGCTTGTGCAGGATCTATCGACGCCAGCGTTCATAAGCGCACTAAAGCGATTCATTTTAACTCGCGGTCGGCCCAGGGAAATTTGGTCCGATAACGCAACCAACTTTGTGGGAGCAAAGAACGAGTTGGCAGATTTGAAGAAGCTGTTTCTGGCAGAAAGGCATATGAAGGAAGTTCAGGAGTTTTGCGTTGCGGATCATATTGAATGGCGGTTTATTCCCCCTCGCTCTCCCCACTTTGGCGGACTCTGGGAGGCTGCGGTTAAAACAGCCAAGCATCATTTCTACCGTTCCGCTTCCAGCTCCTTGCTGTGCTTTGATGACCTGAGAACGCTTGTGTGCCATATCACTGCCATAATAAACTCAAGGCCATTGCTTCCCATTTCAGAGCATCCTGACGATTTAGACATGCTAACACCTGCGCATTTCTTAGGTACTGCTCCAATCCGTACCTTCGCGGAACCAGATGTGACCGGACTTAACTTCAATCGTCTTGATCGCTGGCAGCAGGTCAACTTCCTGCAGCAGACTTTCTGGTCCCGCTGGCGAGAGGAGTACCTCACGCTTCTGCAGGAGAGGGCAAAATGGAGGACTAAGCAGCCTAACCTCAGCGTCGGCGACGTGGTCCCTCGTAAAGAACGAGAACTTGCCTCCACTTAAGTGGCCGCTGGGAAGGGTGACGAAACTGATCGCCGGCAGAGATGGCGTTTCCAGGGTAGCTGAGCTCAAAACGGCTACTGGGAGCACCACGAGGGCTATCGCAAAGCTGTGTATGCTGCCAAAGAATGATGTCGAAGACCCGTGCTCTTCAACGGGGGGAGAATGTTCGGCTAAGCGCCGGCCCATGGCAGCGCAAAGAGAGCAGAGCTAAGCTCTTATGCACAACATTGCCTACCTGACTCTGCGCTCTTGAGTCATTTTCCCCCTCCCGAAAATCGTCAGCCGACGAAGGCTGTGAGGGAGGCTCGTCTGCGCAGCAGAGACACTTCGAAATCTAGCATCATCAAACGTACAACATATCGTCGGTTGGCACAGTGACCTGCTACATTGTTATTACCTTTTATACAAAACCCATTATTGTTTTCGCTTCAACACGGTCCACCACGGGTCCGCCTGTTGCTAACTCTTGCCCATTCTATTCCCACTCGCCTTGCATGGAAAATAAAGAAACTAACATAACCAAACAAACTGTGTTGTGAATTAATCAAAGTACAAATTGTCGATTTAACTCTACGCTATTGAAAAATCTCAATAGCTCAACAGTTTTTTTTACCGCATTCAGTCTTTATGATCTCTGAACGGCCTCAGCATAACCATTCCCACAAGGCATTGGTGCACCTAAGACCCACTAAATAAGCAATGTAATTTTCAAGGATTCCTTCGATGAAATTTTGGGATTCCGTTTCTTTTTTTTTTCCAAATTTCTCCAAACATGCTTGATGGAAGTAAAGTCCGGTAACTGGATTTGATTGCTGATTGCCGTGGTCAGAGCTCGAAAAAGATGCTCAACCAATTTTTCGTATGGAAAAGACAGAGAAAAATGAAACAGACGTGCTCTCTCTCTGAACAGAACACGTATTTTTGTTGCTCTCGTGTTTTCGGTCTGAGCGAGAGACTTTCGTTCGGCGCTCAACAACTGAGCTACATGCACGAAGTGTCTTTTTGTTGTAGTTGCGTTAGGTATTTGTTGTTGCTACTATATATTCCCTCGCCGGCAAAGCGTGGAAGAGGAAGGGATAACGAAGAACGAGAATGTAAATACAAAATCATAGGCAAATTTATAAACTTAAAAGATTTAATATCCATACTTCCACATATTCTTCATAGCAAAACAAAAGTGCACTTTATTATTTCCCTGACGGCTCATCGTAATTGATCCACACGCTTCAACGAAAAAAAACAAATGAGGCACGCGCGCAGAACACACACACACACATACATTCGCAAAAGACACTTTCGGCTCAACGAAGTGTCTCAAGTGAACGAATGCATAAGGAGAGCGAAAAGACACTCTCGTTGGTTGAGCAAAGAGCGAAGAGCGAAAAAACGAAGCGGAAGGGTCTTTTTGATTCCGTTTTTAAGCGTGTCCGCGAACAACCGGTTTTTTCATGACTGCTTGCGGAAAGGGACCACTTCTTGCGAGCTCTGGCCGTGGTAATTGAGCCAGATTTTATTAAAATAAGGTGAACTTTTTAGCTACACCTGTCCCTCGCTTATCACGAATTCTTTCAACACGAATTCGGTCTTACACGGTTATAAATTCGCTCCTTTTCCACTTTTAACACGCTCAAACCATCGTTCTTACACGATTGAAAAATAGCGAAATTTATTTTTTTTTGGCAATTATGCTTTAGTGTGCTGTATGCATCACTACGCATTGGGCGCACGTAGAACGAGAAGGAACGTGTGAGAAACGTTTTGGGGCCTTAAAAATGGTTAAGGAATTATGGCTTTTTTTCATGGTAACTTTTTTTTTTTACCTGAACCGTTAACATGGTCGGTTGCGCGGATTATTCCCCAAATATGTAATTTAAAAACTCGGGAAAAGTCGAAAATGATATCTTGGTCTTTTATATTTTTCTTTTATAGGTACATTAATAAGGCGATGTTTTTAAACAGCTAAGCTAAAACTGTTTGACCAATTCTCCAAAAATCAAAAAAATACAACTAAAAATATCGTTTGGAACGTTCTGCCCCAACGGCCAAAATGGGATCAAATCTGATCCGCTCATCGAAAGACCTCTTCAGTTTGAGAGAGATTTGGAAAATATAATTTTAGCTGTTAAAAGCCACTAAACAATCAAAAATTACCGATTTTTTATAAACAAGAAAAACGAATTTTTAATAAAAAAAACATTTTTCTTTGCAAAATGCAAACACTGCTTGAAAGAATACCTCAGAAAAACTAACGGGTCAGAAAATTCGACCGTAACTGTTATAAATTTTAAAGTAAAAATTGCAATCTGAGAATTATTTTAAACTTTTTTATATAAAAGTTACGAATAACACTTATTTTTAATTTAATTTCAATAGAAATCAGAATTAAGAGTTATTTTTAATTTATACTTTTAAAATCAAACATAAGAATTAATTATGATTTTCTTAATAAAAATCAAAAATAAGAGTTATTTTTGATTTTTTTTTTAAAAGTTGAAAATAATAGTTATACCGGAACTTTTATTTTAAAAGTTAAAAATAAAATTTTAAATTGATTATCCTTCCAATTGAGTGGTTTGTTATCATGAGTGTATGTATATTCCTGATCCTTGAGAAAATACCTTTCATATGATGCATCGCATGTCCTTCAAGGACGAATTTTAAGGATCTCACTATTTTCCTTTAGTTTTTAGTTTTTAGCTTTCATAATATGTTGCAGTACCATGCGTTGCATTACTTTGCCAAAAAAACCCATAACACCTGTGAAGGAGCAGGCTCCTGCACAACAACAGGGCAGTGGACACAGTCCTACCACAAGAGTGGTAAAACCCACACGGGCCCATCGAGGCGGGCCGGCAAACAGGACTGCCAGTATTTTGATTTAATTATTTCTTATTTTCTATTACTATTATTCATTTTTCATTACTATTCATTTACTCCATATTATTACTCATATTAGACGTAAGCAGCTAACGAAAATATATATAATAAGAAGTTAAACTAAGCATTGATTAGTGGGAACGATGGTCACTGGGAGCAGTCAGGTACCATCACTAGGAACCAGGAACCAGCACCAAGAACCAGCACCCCGAGCCAGGAACCAGCAGCAAGAACGAAGAACCAGCACCCAGAGCCAGGAACCAGCAGCAAGAACAAAGAACCAGTACCAAGAACACAAAAGAGAAAAACCGAGCGAACGAAAAGGGAGCATACGCTTAAGAGAGCGATAGGCGGGCCTAAGCAAAGAGAACATAGCTGACCGTCGGGAGAAGAGAGCCCTTCCCAAGCATAACTGGCACGCGTCAGAAAAATGAGCAGCAGAGCCAACGACGCAATGCTAGCACAAAGCCGAAAACCACCCCAAGCCAGCCCACAGCAGCCGAGAGAGGAGCAGCGCCGCGACGCGAGAGATAATCGACGATCGGCTCAGCGTTCGGCAGCTAAGCTACAAAGTAGCCGAGGGCCGGGCAGAATTACCGGCAGAGGCCGGATCAAGCGGCTTGGCACGCGTCAAAAAAGATGCGGGCCGGGAGTCGAAAAATGGTGTCAGAGGTGAGCAGTCGAGTTCCAGAGCAGAGTCCAGAGCGAGTGCGATCGCCGTGACCCCCGCCCCCAGGATTGGCAACAACGACAACAACACAGGACCTAGCCAACGACACCGACGGAATCCTGCCCGCTGAAGATTTCCCCAACACGGAGGCCACCGAGAATCAGCGAGATAACACCAAACCAGGCGCAAGAGGACGGGTAAGCCGGCTCACTTACGTGGGTGTGTAGGGAGAGAAAGAGACAGTGCGATAGGTAGGGACCCAACCACGGATATAATAAAGAATATATATAAAACGCTCTTGGTTATTGTATCGGCTGCCACCAAACTGTACCCTTCCATCTCTCCACCACTATCCTTGGGGAGACGGGCCATAGCATCGGTACGCGGTCAACGCACGGTGACTGTGGTCCGCCCCTCCCCCTTCCCGTAGCACCTTCCCCGTAGAAAACCTCGCCTTTTTCCCCCCGGAGGACCAGTTGAAAGGTGTGTACGCGGGCACGCACGGCACGCACGGCACCCCGAAACTGGATTCCCCATTCCCCCCGAGCATTTCCTTCCCGTGCCTGGCTGTAAGGGCCCCGTTCCGATCCCACGCGCGGAGCGCCGCACTTTTCCCTCGCCACTCATTCCAATCTATAGGTCCCAAAAATACAAATAGGCTGTATTAGGATCGCTTTATTCCCCCTCGCTCTCCCCACTTTGGCGGACTCTGGGAGGCTGCGGTTAAAACAGCCAAGCATCATTTCTACCGTTCCGCTTCCAGCTCCTTGCTGTGCTTTGATGACCTGAGAACGCTTGTGTGCCATATCACTGCCATAATAAACTCAAGGCCATTGCTTCCCATTTCAGAGCATCCTGACGATTTAGACATGCTAACACCTGCGCATTTCTTAGGTACTGCTCCAATCCGTACCTTCGCGGAACCAGATGTGACCGGACTTAACTTCAATCGTCTTGATCGCTGGCAGCAGGTCAACTTCCTGCAGCAGACTTTCTGGTCCCGCTGGCGAGAGGAGCACCGCACGCTTCTGCAGGAGAGGGCAAAATGGAGGACTAAGCAGCCTAACCTCAGCGTCGGCGACGTGGTCCTCGTAAAGAACGAGAACTTGCCTCCACTTAAGTGGCCGCTGGGAAGGGTGACGAAACTGATCGCCGGCAGAGATGGCGTTTCCAGGGTAGCTGAGCTCAAAACGGCTACTGGGAGCACCACGAGGGCTATCGCAAAGCTGTGTATGCTGCCAAAGAATGATGTCGAAGACCCGTGCTCTTCAACGGGGGAGAATGTTCGGCTAAGCGCCGGCCCATGGCAGCGCAAAGAGAGCAGAGCTAAGCTCTTATGCACAACATTGCCTACCTGACTCTGCGCTCTTGAGTCATTTTCCCCCTCCCGAAAATCGTCAGCCGACGAAGGCTGTGAGGGAGGCTCGTCTGCGCAGCAGAGACACTTCGAAATCTAGCATCATCAAACGTACAACATATCGTCGGTTGGCACAGTGACCTGCTACATTGTTATTACCTTTTATACAAAACCCATTATTGTTTTCGCTTCAACACGGTCCACCACGGGTCCGCCTGTTGCTAACTCTTGCCCATTCTATTCCCACTCGCCTTGCATGGAAAATAAAGAAACTAACATAACCAAACAAACTGTGTTGTGAATTAATCAAAGTACAAATTGTCGATTTAACTCTACGCTATTGAAAAATCTCAATAGCTCAACAGTTTTTTTTACCGCATTCAGTCTTTATGATGTCTGAACGGCCTCAGCATAACCATTCCCACAAGGCATTGGTGCACCTAAGACCCACTAGGTTAGGTTAGGTTAACCCAGACGGCCCTCACGGGGCCACGCATAGGCCAATATGGCCCTTAGTTGTCCGGATGGGGGTGTATGAACCTTTCGAGAATATTTATGAGGTTTTGAAGTCCCTAAGGATCGAGGTGTTTTTGGCAAAGGCTAGCAGTTCCCCTGGCGTCCTCTTGGAGGCATCTTCCAGTGATGCCAGTACCGGGGCGCCCAGGTATATTCTCCTAGCCCTTGAGAGGGCCGGGCAGTTGCAGATGAGATGTTCCAGGGTTTCAGTTGCCCCGGATTCCTCGCATTTCCTGCAGTGGCCACTGTTGGTGATGCCTAGTTTGACGGCATGTGCCGCGGCCAGACAGTGACCTGTGAGTATTCCCACCAACATTCTGCAGTCCTTCCGTGGGAGGTGCAGTATGTAGTAGCTGAGTTTCCTGTTGCGCATGGTTTTTGAGGTTCTGCAGGTGGTGGTTCTGCTCCACCTGCTTCTTGCCTGTGTGTCGGCCCGTTTCTCTAAATCGCTTTGGAGCGTTCTAAGGGAGACAGGCACGTTCTCAGTTCTGTCGTTTTCCAGCCCGACGCCGTCCTTAGCCAGACCGTCCGCCATCTCGTTGCCATCGATGCCTTGGTGGCTGGGAACCCAGTAGATCCGCACTGACTTTGTCGTGCTTAGGATATCTTGTGCCTCCCTGCTTGCCAAGACATTTCTGGAACTGACCGCCGACGACTGCATGGATCTTATCGCCGCCTGGCTGTCCACGAACAGGTTGATCACGTCGTGTGGACGATCCGTAGACTGAGCAGCCTCTGCCGCTTTCCGTATGGCGAAGACTTCCGCCTGGAATATGCTGCATTGGTCCGGTAGCTTATAGGACAGCCTTATCTCAGGGTCTGTACAGTATATGCCTGCTCCTACTCCTCCTTCCATCTTGGAGCCATCAGTGTAGATGTTGAGGTGTTGAGTCTGGTCCCGACCCCTTTTCCAATCATCGGGTCCCATGTATGAGGTTGTTTTTACATCCAGGCCAGTTTGGGGGATCATGTAGTCAGATATACTGGTCATGTCTCGGCCAATTGAACTGTGCCCGAATCCTTGTAGAGACATATTGCCTGATGCTACTAAGCGTTGTGCCGCCTTTCCTGCAGTCAGTTGAGCGTGGATGTCCAGGGGGTCTATTCCGATTATGGTTTCGAGAGCTTTTGTTGGGGTTGACCTCAGCGCCCCCGTAATGCAGAGCAGTGCCTGCCGCTGGGTCCTTTCCATAAGCTTGTTGTACGTCTTCTTTTCTGTCGCTTGCCACCACACTAAGACTCCGTACAGCAGAGTCGGTCGCACCACCGAGATGTAGATCCAGTGCATTAGAGCGGGTGACAGGCCCCACGTGCTGCTAAGCATCTTCTTGGATGCGTATAGCGCAATGGTGGCCTTCTTCACCCTTTCCACCACATTGGGCCTCCATGCCAGCTTGCTATCCAGTACTATGCCGAGGTATTTGACTTGTGTTTTCGGGGTCAGCCTGGTTTTGTCAATTTTCGGGGGGATCCATGCCGGTACCTTGTATCTCTTGGTAAAGAGGATGAGGTCCGTCTTGTCCGCGTTGATACTGAGTCCTACTTTTCCTGCCCACTCACATATCTCCCTGAGTGTTGATTCCATTATGGAGCTGAGGGTCGATGGACATACTCCCGTAATAATTATGCTTATGTCATCTGCATAGGCTGTTATTTTTGGGGCTCTCCTCTCGAATCTCTTTATTAAGTCGTCGACCACCAGGTTCCACAGGAGGGGCGACAGGACCCCACCTTGTGGTGTGCCTCTATGCGCCCCCCTCACCATGGAAGCGGTGCCCCACTCTGATTGCACCCGTCTGCAACTTAGAAGGTTCTTTATCCAGAGGTTGATTGCGGGATGTGTGTTGGTCGCTTCTAGGCGGTCCATAATAGCGTTCGTAGTGACATTGTTGAATGCTCCGGATATGTCTACGAACACTCCTAGAGCATACTTTTTATTATGTAGGGCTCTCTCGATGGTGGCTACTAGCGAGTGCAGTGCCGTCTCTACCGATTTCCCTTTGGTGTAGGCATGCTGGTTGGTTGACATCAGTCTCCCTACATCATTCCTGATGTGTAGATCCAGCAGCTTTTCGAGTGTTTTGAGTAGAAAGGATGTAAGGCTTATCGGTCTATAATCCTTGGGGCTCATATGGCTGCACTTTCCTGCCTTTGGAAGGAAGACAATCCTCGAGGTCCTCCATTGGATAGGGATATAGCCTGTGCTCAGGCAAGCTGAGTATATTGCAGAGAGCCATGGGGTGATCACGTCTTTGGTCACCTGTAGCATGGCTGGGAATATACCGTCTAGTCCAGGTGCTTTTGTACCCGCAAAGGAGTCTATAGCCCAGTGGATTTTCTTAGACGATATGAGACCTGTTGGGGGATGCACTTCCTCAGTTACTAGGTCCTGATGCGTTGTAGCGTCAGCAACCTCGGTGCATCCTGGGAAGTGAGCTTCCATTAGTGCTGTTAGGGCTTCTTCACTGCCCTCAGTCCACTGTCCATCTTCTCGCTTCAGCTGACTCTGTATGGTAGGTTGCTTTGATAGCAGCTTCCGGAGTCTAGCCGTTTCTGGGACTGTCTCGATATTGGAGCAGAAGTTCCTCCACGAGTTTCTTTGTGCCCTGCGTATTTCCTTCTTGTACTCCCTGAGTAGGGTTTTGTATTCCTCATTGATTATCTCCTCGTTCGCCTGTTTGGCGATTTTGAAGAATTCTTTGAGGTTGTTTCTTTGAAGCGATAAGTCCCGGTTCCACCAGAGTGGTTTGGTCCTCTTTTTCGTTCTCGAGGGTGGGCATGATGCGTGGTACGCATCCAGTAGTTCCTTTGACAGGGTCTCTAGGGACGTTTCTATGTCTTCCGGGGATTTCACTGTGCCCGGGCGAGTCGCGAGCTTTGAAGTAACTGTTTTTTTTAACTTTTCCCAGTTTGTGTTCCGGGGGTTTCTATAAACAGTTATCTTCGGAGAGTGTTTAAATTCGCACTTGAATTGAATGTACTTGTGGTCTGAGAAGGATGGTCTTTCAAGGACTCTCCAGCCAGATACCAGAGTACTCTTTCCCGTTACGAGTGTTAGATCTAGTACGTTGGACGAGGTGGGACCTACGAAGGTGTGTTCCTCCCCTACGTTTGCTACATCTAGGTTAGTTGATAGTATGAAGTCTAAAAGTGACTCACCTCTGTCGTTGATGTCGGGGCTTCCCCACACGCTGTGGTGGGCATTGGCGTCCGTACCAACCAGAAGTTGCTGGTCTTTCGGGCTGGCATCCGCCACCAGACTCCTTAGCTCTTCCGGTGGAGCTGGCCTGTCGTGTGCCATATAGCAGGAAGCTACCATAAGGTGCTTTTCCTCGCTTTCTAGCATCACAGCAGTCAGGTCATCAGTGCTGTAATGAGACAAAAGGTAAGCATGGATGCCCTTCCGTACGAGTACGGTGGTTCTGGTCCTGCTTACCGATGGTGAGTGGAAAAGGTTGTAGTTAGAGGACTTTAGTCCGGCCACAGCGTTGCCAGAGGCAAGCCATGGCTCCTGGACCAGAGCTATGTCGACGGGCCCTTGCTCCATGGCGATGAGGAGCTCCGTCGACGCGAGTTTGCTCTTATGGAGGTTGAGCTGCAGCACCCTCACTGACATGGGAGGCTGGCTCAACTACACTTGACGGGTTGACTATTACTGTCAGGTCTCCGTCCTCCTCCTCTTCGGAGTCGTCCAGCGCCATACCCTGAGCGGCCTCCACGATGGACTCCAGACCGAGGTCCTTCTCCACCTCGCCTGCCTGCAGGGTGTGCGTGTCCTTGTCTTCGGGGTGGCGCTTTTTGAGGCGGAGGTATACGCTACCCATGCCCCACGCCATCTTCCCGAATCTGGGGTACAGCAGATCCTCTGCCTCCTTGCTGATTTGGAGGATCGCACTCTGGGCCCCGTTGGGTAGTGGGCTCCCAATGTGCAGGATCCTCCAGTTCGCCGTTGGCACGTCTGGGTTCTGCCGCTGTAGCAGCCTCAGCGCACGGTCTCCTTGGATTGCGATGGGGAAGAGTACCTTCGCCTTTGGTATGGACGGGATTAGCTCCCTTTCCACAACCTCCAGTCTGGCCCCCTCCCACATCGCCTCCATTTGGCAGACCGTTTGCGTCAGCCACTTGAGTGTGGGGTCGTCCATACATTTAAGTATTTTGACCCCGTTAAGCCACCCAGCACCATCGAACGTGGGCATGGGGGCTGTTGGGTCCTCCTCCATTCTTCCGAACAGCGACTCTACGAGCTGCGCGTGCACCATCTTCCACCGCGCCTCCGTCATCTTGCCATTCTCGTCACTCCGGTCAATGAGTGCCACGATCAGATGTCGTTTGGTCACCTCATTGACCTTCGCCTTGGGTTTGGGCTTCTTTGCCGTTTTGGGTGGAGGTCCCACCCCCTTGGGCCCGCGTTGCCGCTTGCTCGCCGGAGTGTCCTTACTGACGCTCTCGGTCGAGCGTTGCCTTTTGGTGGCGAGAATCTCCTCCACCTTATTGGCAAATTCTCCCTTCGTCGCTTTCATTTGCGGCATTTGCGCAAAGTGTAGGCGGCCCTCCTCTACCTTTTGCTCGGCCCAGGCTAGCTTGGACTTCTCCTCTTGGGAGATGTCCTCTTTGCCTTGGAGCCGGCTTCGGATCTTGAGCCGCCTTGTATTGAGCCTTAGCCTTCATCCCCTCCCTAGAACGCTTCGGCCCTTCCCTACGCAGGGAGCTGGAACCTGGTTCAGGCGAGCGGAGAAGGCTATCTTCCTCGTTCTTGCTGACCGAGAGCACGCTCTCCAGGTCCGAGTCTGTCTCGACTAAGGCACCTGTGCGGCTCAGCTTGGAGTGAGTCCGTTTTGTGGCAGTAGCATTGCAACTGACATGACCTGCTCCCGCCATATCAGAGGTGTGACCGCTGGCGACACGCAGAGAGGATTGCTCCTCCCCGTGCCCGCCGGTGGTAGCAGTCACGCTTTCCACCGACGTTTGGGTTGACATCCCAACCCGTGTTTGACCTTCTGTCCGCTCCATATTAGGCCCGAAGGTCCATACGTGGTTGATGTTTTTTGGGGGACCACCCCCTAGCGTTTTATGCCTACCCGCCAGGCACCTCCAGCCATGGCCGTGGTTCAGTTCCCCCATTTCGGGAGGACCTGGACCCGGCCTTGGCTGACACTGCATTACCCCGGACAGGGCAAGCGACAGTGCATCACCCGATCCGGGATAATGCAGTGCCCATTGCCCGGCCGGCACCCTCGGGGCGGGTTCAGCTGGAGGATTTTCGCCGACCCCCTAAATAAGCAATGTAATTTTCAAGGATTCCTTCGATGAAATTTTGGGATTCCGTTTCTTTTTTTTTTCCAAATTTCTCCAAACATGCTTGATGGAAGTAAAGTCCGGTAACTGGATTTGATTGCTGATTGCCGTGGTCAGAGCTCGAAAAAGATGCTCAACCAATTTTTCGTATGGAAAAGACAGAGAAAAATGAAACAGACGTGCTCTCTCTCTGAACAGAACACGTATTTTTGTTGCTCTCGTGTTTTCGGTCTGAGCGAGGGACTTTCGTTCGGCGCTCAACAACTGAGCTACATGCACGAAGTGTCTTTTTGTTGTAGTTCCGTTAGGTATTTGTTGTTGCTACTATATTCCCCCCCCGCCAAAGCGTGGAAGAGGAAGGGATAACGAAGAACGAGAATGTAAATACAAAATCATAGGCAAATTTATAAACTTAAAAGATTTAATATCCATACTTCCACATATTCTTCATAGCAAAACAAAAGTGCACTTTATTATTTCCCTGACGGCTCATCGTAATTGATCCACACGCTTCAACGAAAAAAAACAAATGAGGCACGCGCGCAGAACACACACCCCACATACATTCGCAAAAGACACTTTCGGCTCAACGAAGTGTCTCAAGTGAACGAATGCATAAGGAGAGCGACAAGACACTCTCGTTGGTTGAGCAAAAGGAGCGAGAGAGCGAAAAAACGAAGCGAAAGGGTCTTTTCGATTCCGTTTTTAAGCGTGTCCGCGAACAACCGGTTTTTTCATGACTGCTTGCGGAAAGGGACCACTTCTTGCGAGCTCTGGCCGTGGTAATTGAGCCAGATTTTATTAAAATAAGGTGAACTTTTTAGCTACACCTGTCCCTCGCTTATCACGAATTCTTTCAACACGAATTCGGTCTTACACGGTTATAAATTCGCTCCTTTTTCCACTTTTAACACGCTCAAACCATCGTTCTTACACGATTGAAAAATAGCGAAATTTATTTTTTTTTGGCAATTATGCTTTAGTGTGCTGTATGCATCACTACGCATTGGGCGCACGTAGAACGAGAAGGAACGTGTGAGAAACGTTTTGGGGCCTTAAAAATGGTTAAGGAATTATGGCTTTTTTTCATGGTAACTTTTTTTTTTTACCTGAACCGTTAACATGGTCGGTTGCGCGGATTATTCCCCAAATATGTAATTTAAAAACTCGGGAAAAGTCGAAAATGATATCTTGGTCTTTTATATTTTTCTTTTATAGGTACATTAATAAGGCGATGTTTTTAAACAGCTAAGCTAAAACTGTTTGACCAATTCTCCAAAAATCAAAAAAATACAACTAAAAATATCGTTTGGAACGTTCTGCCCAACGGCCAAAATGGGATCAAATCTGATCCGCTCATCGAAAGACCTCTTCAGTTTGAGAGAGATTTGGAAAATATAATTTTAGCTGTTAAAAGCCACTAAACAATCAAAAATTACCGATTTTTTATAAACAAGAAAAACGAATTTTTAATAAAAAAAACATTTTTCTTTGCAAAATGCAAACACTGCTTGAAAGAATACCTCAGAAAAACTAACGGGTCAGAAAATTCGACCGTAACTGTTATAAATTTTAAAGTAAAAATTGCAATCTGAGAATTATTTTAAACTTTTTTATATAAAAGTTACGAATAACACTTATTTTTAATTTAATTTCAATAGAAATCAGAATTAAGAGTTATTTTTAATTTATACTTTTAAAATCAAACATAAGAATTAATTATGATTTTCTTAATAAAAATCAAAAATAAGAGTTATTTTTGATTTTTTTTTAAAAGTTGAAAATAATAGTTATACCGTAACTTTTATTTTAAAAGTTAAAAATAAATTTTAAATTGATTATCCTTCCAATTGAGTGGTTTGTTATCATGAGTGTATGTATATTCCTGATCCTTGAGAAAATACCTTTCATATGATGCATCGCATGTCCTTCGAGGACGAATTTTAAGGATCTCACTATTTTCCTTTATATTTAGTTTTTAGCTTTCATAATATGTTGCAGTACCATGCGTTGCATTACTTTGCCAAAAAAACCCATAACACCTGTGAAGGAGCAGGCTCCTGCACAACAACAGGGCAGTGGACACAGTCCTACCACAAGAGTGGTAAAACCCACACGGGCCCATCGAGGCGGGCCGGCAAACAGGACTGCCAGTATTTTGATTAATTATTTCTTATTTTCTATTACTATTATTCATTTTTCATTACTATTCATTTACTCCATATTATTACTCATATTAGACGTAAGCAGCTAACGAAAATATATATAATAAGAAGTTAAACTAAGCATTGATTAGTGGGAACGATGGTCACTGGGAGCAGTCAGGTACCATCACTAGGAACCAGGAACCAGCACCAAGAACCAGCACCCCAGCCAGGAACCAGCAGCAAGAACGAAGAACCAGCACCCAGAGCCAGGAACCAGCAGCAAGAACAAAGAACCAGTACCAAGAACACAAAAGAGAAAAACCGAGCGAACGAAAAGGGAGCATACGCTTAAGAGAGCGATAGGCGGGCCTAAGCAAAGAGAACATAGCTGACCGTCGGGAGAAGAGAGCCCTTCCCAAGCATAACTGGCACGCGTCAGAAAAATGAGCAGCAGAGCCAACGACGCAATGCTAGCACAAAGCCGAAAACCACCCCAAGCCAGCCCACAGCAGCCGAGAGAGGAGCAGCGCCGCGACGCGAGAGATAATCGACGATCGGCTCAGCGTTCGGCAGCTAAGCTACAAAGTAGCCGAGGGCCGGGCAGAATTACCGGCAGAGGCCGGATCAAGCGGCTTGGCACGCGGCAAAAAAGATGCGGGCCGGGAGTCGAAAAATGGTGTCAGAGGTGAGCAGTCGAGTTCCAGAGCAGAGTCCAGAGCGAGTGCGATCGCCGTGACCCCCGCCCCCAGGATTGGCAACAACGACAACAACACAGGACCTAGCCAACGACGACGACGGAATCCTGCCCGCTGAAGATTTCCCCAACACGGAGGCCACCGAGAATCAGCGAGATAACACCAAACCAGGCGCAAGAGGACGGGTAAGCCGGCTCACTTACGTGGGTGTGTAGGGAGAGAAAGAGACGGTGCGATAGGTAGGGACCCAACCACGGATATAATAAAGAATATATATAAAACGCTCTTGGTTATTGTATCGGCTGCCACCAAACTGTACCCTTCCATCTCTCCACCACTATCCTTGGGGAGACGGGCCATAGCATCGGTACGCGGTCAACGCACGGTGACTGTGGTCCGCCCCTCCCCCTTCCCGTAGCACCTTCCCCGTAGAAAACCTCGCCTTTTTCCCCCCGGAGGACCAGTTGAAAGGTGTGTACGCGGGCACGCACGGCACGCACGGCACCCCGAAACTGGATTCCCCATTCCCCCCGAGCATTTCCTTCCCGTGCCTGGCTGTAAGGGCCCCGTTCCGATCCCACGCGCGGAGCGCCGCACTTTTCCCTCGCCACTCATTCCAATCTATAGGTCCCAAAAATACAAATAGGCTGTATTAGGATCGGGCCCTGGGCAGAGTGAGAGGCTGTACCCCGGCCTGAGAAAACATCCTTACAGATGGCGCCCGAGCAGGGACTTTTAGAGAAGAAATTTGCGAAAAATAGGGCAAGGAATTGTAGGAGCAACCAGCGATAAGTGGTATGAACACCAGTACAGCGTAGATCAGCCTCAGAGAATCACCCACACCCAAAGCCAAGACCACAGACCCAGCCCCTTATACCTCGTGGGACGACGACAGGGACACCACAGAATCATCCAAGAACAAGGAGCCGAGCAACAACACACACAGGCAGCAGAAATCAGCACCATACATCTTTTTTTTTCGACCCTCCAACCCATGTACAGCTGAGGCTGGTTTTTCTTAGCTCCTCGCAGCCACGCGCCAAGAGAAGTTTGGCAACAGCGCAGCCACGCGGTCGCAGCATCGCCACGCGCAGATCACGCGACGTGAAAATCGGCAACCGCGCGACCACGTTTCGCGGTCGGTCGTAGCGGCAGCGACGCCCGAAAACACATTGGCGCACGTGTGGGAAAGAGACAGCAAGTGACGCCGAGAAGTGCAGGAACAGCGCGACCACGTTTCGCGGTCGGCCGTAGCAGCAGCGGCGCCCGAAAACACATTTGCGCACGTGTGAGACAGAGACAGCAGGTGACGCCGAGAAGTGCGGCAACAGCGCGACCACGTTTTGCGGTCGGCCGTAGCAGCAGCGACGCCCGAAAACACATTGGCGCACAGGCGAGAAAGAGACAGCAGGTGACGCCGAGAAGTTCGGCAACAACGCAACCACGCGGTCGCAGCATCGCCACGCGCGGATCACGCGACGTGAAAATCGGCAACAGCGCTTCGACGCCCAGAAGGGCAGCAGCGACAAAACTACACGGCGACGGTAACTACGCAAGAACAATATAAGGCAGCACCCAAGCCCAGGAAGGGAGAGTGGAGTTCTAGCCCTCGACGTGAACAGTGAACAAAATAAAAGCTCTAGCTTCCAACGAAAAAGACTCTAACAAACAAAAGCCCTGTTCATAGATCCTTTAGTGCAAAACCAAATATCCTGCCGCAGGATCGATCGCCTAGTACCGCGCCGCGAATCCTGACAAAGGATCAAAAGTCTTAGGTGCCAAACCAAGCATCCGTCCGCAGGATCACCCGCCTTGTACCAACCGTTTGGTAACGCGCCGCGTCTCGTGCCAAAGTGCACCGATCCCTAGTGCTGTGCATAGCCCTTGCCAAGGACCACCGATTCCTAGCACTGTGCCGTGCACCCGTGTCCAGAAGGAGTACTTATTCCCCCGCACCAAGCCACCTAGCCCTGCCCGCTACGACCTCGAAGGGGAAACATGGGCTCACGCTGGATATCCTACCGTCGGAAGGACGAGCTACAAGGATTGGCCCAAGAGTTTGGACTCGAGACTGCCGGAACGGTGGATGAGCTCCGAAGTCGGATCGCCGGGTTTATTTCACGCGGCGGCCACTCGGAGGAAATTCAGGCAAGGATAGCTGAGTTGGACACCCACTTCGGCAGTATCCCCAGTCCCAGGGACCCACGAAGCCCCGCAACGTCTCCAGGACCAGAGACGAGAGCAAAGGAGGAAAGAGGCAGAGATAGGAAGCAGCTCTTATTGGTGATCCCTGAACCAGCCACTCATCCCAAATCTCCAGGTCGCCCCATGACCCTCAGGACACCTCCAGGACAAGGAACGGAGGCCTCCGAGCTACCACCCCCCGACGGAAACCTCCAGCAAGGCCCAATTCTGGAACTGCCACCATGGGTACTCCCCGAGTTGCCCAGCACGAGCCAAGGATTGGGAACCAGTGCCGCTGGACCCCGTGACACGACCGCTGAGCCACAGGCTGGCCAGAGTAACCACCAGCAGCCCAACAGACAGGAGCCACCCCAAATGGCCGTGGCTGAACCATGCAGTATGCCTCGAGGGCCAGGACCTAGCACCATCGGGCCACGCCCCACCCGGAGTCAGCCATCAATCGTCGACAGCCACTACCAACCGGGTATGTCTCAGGGACAACGGGCCCCACACTCAGGAGGCGAGATCTCGTCTTCCCTGCTGGCAGACAAGCTCAGGAAATGGGGGCTCACGTTCAATGGCCATACGGACCCTCTGGCATTCATCGAACGACTAGAGGAGCGGGTCGAGTCGTACGGAGGAAGCCCGGAGCAACTGCCACGAGCCGTATCCGGTCTCTTGACAGGTAAGGCCGAGGGGTGGTTTCGAACCTTTCAGATGCAAGGTCAGAACTGGACAGATTTCCGGAAGGAATTCTTGGAGTTTTTCTTGCCGCCCCGATACTTCCAACGCTTAGAGGACACCATCCGGAGCCGGGAACAGAAGCCCAAGGAGTCCTTCCGGGACTACCTGATCGAGCTACGACTGATGATGCAGCGGGCTCAGTACACTCGAGAACAGGAATTGGACCGGATTTACGAGAATCTTCGACCAGAGTATCAAATGTATACTCGCAGGCAAGACTTCCGCTCGCTGACGGAATTAACTCAGCTCATCTCGGCATATGAGACCGCCAGGGACCGCGGCCCATCACGCACCAACGTATCTACACCGACGTACCTACAGCGGGCCTCACACGGAGGCCAAGGGGCCACAAACCAACGGGGTGCCAACCACGAGGCATCCAGAAGGTCGGAGGCCGCCCATCTCGGGAAACGGCCGGATGAGGATGAACCGGTCGACGTGCGACGGGCCTGCCGAAAGTGCGGAGAAGATGGACATTTTCGTAGCGACTGCATCAATCAACAGAAGCTATTCTGTTGGGAGTGCGGCCGCCGAGGAATCAGGACTATCAATTGCTGCCGAAAGCTCGAGTCGGGAAACGAGTCGGGTCTCCGCCCCACTGGGACACGGGCGGAGACGCACACCCAAGATCCGGGGACATCCACCCACTAAGTATGGCAGGAGGGAGGATCGTGGCTCTGGTGACCATCAATGGAAGGGCTTGCTCAGCCACCCTTGACACAGGGGCCACCCGGTCTTTCATTAGCCGGCGGATAGCGGACGAGATAGGAACGGCAGAAAACCAACGAGCAGTGAGAACCAGGATCAGCCTAGCCGACCACTCAAAGAAGGAGATCACACAGGCAGTAGCAGCGACGGTGCGCCTCGACCAGCAGGAAACACAGGTATCTCTCTTAGTTTTACCCACGGTACTGGATGACATCATTCTGGGGCTGGACTTTCTGTGTGGTATCCGTGCAAGGATCCACTGTGGACGAGCGTATCTGCAACTCAAGCGGCGCCAACCCTCTCCTGAGAACACACCAGAAATCACGGCGTCACTGGGTCCAAGAACGGTGACGTTTGCCGACCCGATAGTCAGGAACGACGGCCTGACCCCCACTCAAACGCCCTTGCCCACAACACTGGGCACCAACCAAATGAACAGCCATAGCCAAGCAGGACACGACGACCAAAGCAGGACAACAGATTCGCCGCCCAAACCGGACCCAAGACCGATTACGACAAGGAAAGCTGCGACACCGATGAATCCAACCATGGCCAGTTCCCTCATTCGTAGCACGCCTTCAAAGCATCGCCAGGACCAAGGGACTTCGGCTCAGATGGCTGTGGCTCCGCTGGATCAATCCAGGGCCAGTCAGACGAACCGAAGCACGCCTTCAAAGCATCGCCAGGACCAAGGGACTTCGGCTCAGATGGCTGTGGCTCCGCTGGATCAATCCAGGGCCAGTCAGACGAACCGAAGCACGCCTTCAAAGCATCGCCAGGACCAAGGGACTTCGGCTCAGATGGCTGTGGCTCCGCTGGATCAATCCAGGGCCAGTCTGACGAACCGAAGCACGCCTTCAAAGCATCGCCAGGACCAAGGGACTTCGGCTCAGATGGCTGTGGCTCCGCTGGATCAATCCAGGGCCAGTCTGACGAACCGAAGCACGCCTTCAAAGCATCGCCAGGACCAAGGGACTTCGGCTCAGATGGCTGTGGCTCCGCTGGATCAATCCAGGGCCAGCCAGACGAACCGAAGCACGCCTTCAAAGCATCGCCAGGACCAAGGGACTTCGGCTCAGATGGCTGTGGCTCCGCTGGATCAATCCAGGGCCAGCCAGACGAACCGAAGCACGCCTTCAAAGCATCGCCAGGACCAAGGGACTTCGGCTCAGATGGCTGTGGCTCCGCTGGATCAATCCAGGGCCAGTCTGACGAACCGAAGCACGCCTTCAAAGCATCGCCAGGACCAAGGGACTTCGGCTCAGATGGCTGTGGCTCCGCTGGATCAATCCAGGGCCAGCCAGACGAACCGAAGCACGCCTTCAAAGCATCGCCAGGACCAAGGGACTTCGGCTCAGATGGCTGTGGCTCCGCTGGATCAATCCAGGGCCAGTCTGACGAACCGAAGCACGCCTTCAAAGCATCGCCAGGACCAAGGGACTTCGGCTCAGATGGCTGTGGCTCCGCTGGATCAATCCAGGGCCAGTCTGACGAACCGAAGCACGCCTTCAAAGCATCGCCAGGACCAAGGGACTTCGGCTCAGATGGCTGTGGCTCCGCTGGATCAATTTAGGGCCAGCCAGACGAACCGAAGCACGCCTTCAAACATCGCCAGGACCAAGGGACTTCGGCTCAGATGGCTGTGGCTCCGCTGGATCAATCCAGGGCCAGTCTGACGAACCGAAGCACGCCTTCAAAGCATCGCCAGGACCAAGGGACTTCGGCTCAGATGGCTGTGGCTCCGCTGGATCAATCCAGGGCCAGTCTGACGAACCGAAGCACGCCTTCAAAGCATCGCCAGGACCAAGGGACTTCGGCTCAGATGGCTGTGGCTCCGCTGGATCAATCCAGGGCCAGTCTGACGAACCGAAGCACGCCTTCAAAGCATCGCCAGGACCAAGGGACTTCGGCTCAGATGGCTGTGGCTCCGCTGGATCAATCCAGGGCCAGCCAGACGAACCGAAGCACGCCTTCAAAGCATCGCCAGGACCAAGGGACTTCGGCTCAGATGGCTGTGGCTCCGCTGGATCAATCCAGGGCCAGTCTGACGAACCGAAGCACGCCTTCAAAGCATCGCCAGGACCAAGGGACTTCGGCTCAGATGGCTGTGGCTCCGCTGGATCAATCCAGGGCCAGCCAGACGAACCGAAGCACGCCTTCAAAGCATCGCCAGGACCAAGGGACTTCGGCTCAGATGGCTGTGGCTCCGCTGGATCAATTTAGGGCCAGCCAGACGAACCGAAGCACGCCTTCAAAGCATCGCCAGGACCAAGGGACTTCGGCTCAGATGGCTGTGGCTCCGCTGGATCAATCCAGGGCCAGTCTGACGAACCGAAGCACGCCTTCAAAGCATCGCCAGGACCAAGGGACTTCGGCTCAGATGGCTGTGGCTCCGCTGGATCAATCCAGGGCCAGTCTGACGAACCGAAGCACGCCTTCAAAGCATCGCCAGGACCAAGGGACTTCGGCTCAGATGGCTGTGGCTCCGCTGGATCAACCAGGGCCAGCCAGACGAACCGAAGCAGCCTAAACATCGCCAGGACCAGGGACTTCGGCTCAGATGGCTGTG